CTGCGGAAAGGCTATTTGATATTAATTGAGTTTGATTGGGATATTGCTGTAGAGCGGTCTTGTTTTGCCTTGCCCTGGGACCGTCTCTCACCCACGAAGTATGAGTATACAAAGTATTATATCTAGGGGAGGAACCACGGGTTTATTCTCGACGAGAAGCTCCTGCATTTACATCTGTATGCTGTAGGATCACTCGTAGTTGCCTTCTTGATGCGTCCACCGATCTACAATTTCATCTCGAGGGCCGGGTGGATCTCGGCATATCGCTTAACTATCTCGGTAGTCTCGTGTCGATCACAGCAACTATTGAAGATGATCGGGTTGAAGGCCATTGTGCATCGTCAGGACCAAGATTGAGCAGGTTAGGATCCACGGATCATAGATGGCTATCAAATCACAAATGGAATCGTAATTGTGTGCAGAAGAGTGGATATAAATAACCCCCCTGGGGACATGTTGGGTTCCTTGCTTTCTATCTCTCATATCGATATCTTCTAAACTCTATCCTCCTTGATTGGAACCATATTTCCTCTCTCTTAATCTTTACCACCTATACTACAAGTATGTCTTTCTCAATTCATGAACCAACCTCAAACTAATCAAACACCCCTCTAGAATGCAGCTCAAATCCCTTCTCGTCCTTGCCGCCTCCTTCTCCATGGCCACGGCCAACTACTACGTCGGCAACTGCGGCCAGGCCACCGACTCGACCAAGGAAGCCCCTACTAAGAGCGCCTGCAACACCGTCGAGGGCACCCTCTGCACCGGCACCGGCATCACCCGCTGCGTCGTCGACACCGGCAAGTGGAGTGACTTCACCTCGGCTTGCAAGGAGGAGGGCTACAACAAGGTTTACCAGCGACCTGGATCGGTGGACGACCTGTCCACAGCGAAGAGCCTTGCTGCCTGCCCTCGGGTTTAGTTTTGCTAAGACATGAAGATAAGGGATGGGGTGTCTCGTTGTGAACGGAGTAATGTTCAAGTTGTACATACATGAAGCATACATAAACTCGGGTGATGCGCAGGGATCTCGTGACCGGACCTGTTCCTGATGATCAGTTGGAATGATGAAAGGATTCTCTCCTTTTATTTCCCTTCCCCCCTTTAGAAAACAGCCCTCGGAGATGGTTGATGCAAGCGTCTCCTTCCCCTAAATAGAATAATAAGGATTGACCTCCTGTCAATGCAGATCGGCCAGCCTGACTAAGCCGGAGAGGGCCAAACTGACCGCCAACGAGAATCACCGGAAAGCGAGTCTTGGTCGGGGATTCTCTTCCATTCATCTTCTTCCTGGCCTCCATTCCTCTGCTGCTGCTGGTCAGTTGAGGCTCTCTCCTGCCCCAAGTCGTGGGTCGGTCCTCTCCATCGCTCCCTGTCCAGCTCTATACTTCTTCCTCCCCCTCTCCAACCTGTCAGGTCCGACCAAGTCAGGCACCGACTTGTCTCCCTCCCATCTCCTCTCCTCTCCTCTCCTCCCCGCCGCCCGCCAACTGTCCTCTGAGCGTCGCCCTTCCCTGTCTTTTCTTACCACACCCCACGACGTGGTCTCTATGCAGCGACGGTAACCAAATCGCTCAGTCCGACAATCTTCCATCTTGCCCCTCGAGGGCGCGTTCTCTTCCCTCCTTTCCATCTATTATGTCCTTCAACTCCACGCAGTCCTATCAAAGCCACGCCGCCTCCCATCGTCCAGTCGCCGCTTTTAACCCCATGGCTGCAGTGAACGCTCCCGCGGGGACATTCCTGCCGGGAACCAAGGTCCAGGTGGGAGGTCATCGAGTTGTGGTGGATAAGTACCTCTCCGAAGGTGGATTTGCCCACGTCTACGTCGTCCGTCTGCCGCAACCCATCGATGGAGTAGACCGAGCCGTCCTGAAGCGGGTTGCCGTCCCCGACAAGGCAGCCCTCGCCAACATGCGGACGGAAGTCGAGACGATGAAGAAACTGAAGGGACACAAGCACATCGTCAAGTACATCGATTCCCATGCATCTCAGCTGCAAGGGGGCGGATTCGAGGTCTTCCTGCTCATGGAGTTCTGTTCGGGCGGAGGTCTGATCGATTTCATGAACACGCGCTTGCAGAACCGTCTGACGGAGCCGGAGATCATCCAGATCTTCTCCGACGTCGCGGAGGGGGTCGCCTGCATGCACTACCTCAAACCGCCTCTGTTGCATCGGGATCTGAAGGTCGAGAACGTGCTCATCTCCCGCCAGGGGAAATCATCGATCTACAAGCTGTGCGATTTCGGCTCGACCGCGCCTCCTCGTCCCGCCGCTACCTCCGCCGCCGAGGGCCGTCTGATCGAGGACGATGTGCAAAGGCACACGACGCTGCAGTACCGCAGTCCGGAAATGATCGACGTCTACCGGAAGCAGCCCATCGACGAGAAGAGTGATATCTGGGCCCTGGGGGTCCTGCTGTACAAACTGTGTTATTACACCACTCCGTTCGAAGAGGTTGGGCAGATGGCCATCCTGAATGCCAGCTTCAAATTCCCTCCCTACCCGATGTTCTCGGATCGTCTGCGGATGCTCATCTGTAAGTTACTCTGGTGCTACTTCTATCCTTCCGTCATACTGACCGATCATTTCTAGCCTGGATGTTGAAAGAGAACCCGCAGAAGCGGCCTAATATCTACGAAGTTTTGCGCGAATCCTGCCACATGCAAGGGAAGGATGTCCCTATCCGCGACGTGAGCATCCCCCGCATTCCCTGCTTGCTCACGAGATATCTAATACTCCGGTAGATCTATGCCACTCGTTCCACGTCGGAAGCGCGCCGGTACCAGGAACTACCACCTTCTCCCACCGACGCCCCCCAAGTGGGTGCCGTGATCTCTCCTCCGATTCAAGAGACCCAGACCAGTATCCCCGAGATTGCGCCGATGCGACGAGGACGCCCGACTCGACCGACGAGCACCTCCCAGCACAATTCTGCGAAGCCGAGCCCTTCGCCGTTCCGTGGTGGGCCTTCTTCCACCGACCCCTTTGCCGTTCTGGATTCAGGAAGTGGCCATAAGTCTCGGAATTCCACCGACGAGTTCACGAATCGATTCCCGTCCCTGGATCATTTCAATATCCTGCACGAGAAAGGAGGAAAGTTTGACTTCGAGCCCAACGCGGCGGACGCTCCGCAGGAGGATGAGGACCTCTCACGGCGACTGACCAACGCCCTTGCTGACGACGCTTTTGCCAAACGCCCTGCGTCGGAGAAGGAGCTCCCCGAACCCCCGGTCCAGAGGCGTCCTCAGCCGCCTCCTCTGAAGACCAGACCGACCGAATCCTCCAAGGAGGAGCCTATTCGCCCGCAGGTGCCACTGCATCAGCCTGTTCCCCAGAAGCCTGCAATGGTTTCTACGGGTACCATGACCTCGCCTCCTTCCACGCCGGGGGTGTCTGAAGCGAAGCCATCTAGCCGTCCGATGTACAAGTTCTCGTCTGATCATCAACGTCGTCCGTCCAGCCAGCCTTGGTCCGGTGACAGCGAGCAACGGCCGCACCGGCCAAGCAAGGCCCCTTCACCCACGCGATCATACTCGAACCTCGGGCCCAACCCTCGGGTTTCTGCCGACCGGATCTCGGATCTTTCGTCCTCGTCGCGACCATCCTTGGAGGGGTTGCGACCGACGAACTTGGACGTTGAAGACCCCGTGGGCCGGTCCAAGTCGGCCAACGGCAAATCTCGGCCGGTGTCGATGCACGCGGGCGCCAAGTTCGAGTCGGGCCGCGGCTCCGAAAGCGCGCGCTCTTCGCTCGACCTGCCCCGACCCTCGTATGAGATGGGGGTGCCCTTGCAGCATGCACGCACGGAGGCGGATCAAAACTTCGACCGGGCCAACATCTCGTCCGACATCGACTACCTGCGGGCGCGCGAAGAGGAGAGCAACCGGAAGCGCGAGAAGCGGTATAGCGGAAGCTCAAGCTCGAAGCACACGAAACGGTCCAGTCTTTCTACGTTGTCGCTGTCGGGCACCAAGAACCGGTTTGCCGGCCGATTCGGCGAGGCGTTCCGTCGATTCGAGCAGACTAACTCCGACAGCAAACCCCAGTCTCCAGCGACCGAGGAAAGCCCCAAGCCATTCATGGCGGTGACCGCCTCTGAGGTGGTCGAGCCTCCGGCCGAGATCAGCGACGACGAGAACGACGATATCTCGCCCGAGATGCGCCGGGAACTCGAGCGGCGGCGTCTGTCGCAGGAAGAGAAGCGGGTCGCCAGCGCGGCCGCGGAGTACCGTCGCCAGGTGGCGGAAGGGGGTGGTCGCGGCGATACGCCGCGATCGTCTGCGATCCAGGGACGCGTGAAGAATCTGCTGGCCGAAGGCAACAAGCCTGCGCCGCCTCCGAAGACCGCGACGGGCTACGGGCGGTACACGGACGAGTCGACCAGCGCTTTGCAGGCAAAGCAGCCCGAGGCGCGTCCCAAGCCTCGATTGAACACGCGGAATGTCGCCCCGGCCGCGTACGGGTCGCCGCAGACTCAGCCCTCGCCGGGGGCGGATCGATGGGAGAGCCCGTCGAATCTTCCCCGGCAAGAGACGGCTCGCACGGGCACGGCGCGACCAGCGGCTCCGCCGAAACCGAAGAACCTGCGGGCACTGGGACAGGAGGCCGTGGGCGGCAGTGATGATCGCAGTCCCATCATGCAGGAAGCGCTCGCGACTCCGGGGGAGGACTGGGAGGCCAACTTCAGCCGTCGATACCCTAGTCTGTCGGGACTCGAGATGGTGGAGACGGAGATAGAGGCGCCCAAATTCCCTAGCCTACGGACCAGGGAAGTGTAATATTTTTTCAGCTCTGTGTGTATCGTCATAATGCTTTCTTGGGTTGGAAGTAAAGCGGAACGATTTTGGTAGAAGGATGGTAAGAGTCATAAAGTGAAAGGGTTTATAGAGTTGAGGACATAATCTTCTTCTATACATACGGGTATATATACATATATCGATCTATACATATTTTTCTAGACATCGGCGAATCAACAATCATCAAGTTTACTTTGTTTAATGTTTACACTGTACGGAGTACTTCCAAGCCAAAGCGACAAGAACCCGGCGCACCTTCCCGAAGAGGCTAGACCGCCCCAGACTGCGGTGCGGCTCAAAGAAACCTTGCGATGGAGAAGGAGATTGAGCTTCTTATCGCGATCGTCCTCTTCCATCCAAGTGCTGCAGTCCCTCCCCATGGCGCCCGTCACCCTCGGCACGGTCGACAGTAAGTCTTCCTTCCCTCCACCCCTCTCGGTTACCAGAATCACCAGAATCTAACCCCCGGGCTCGTCACCCGTCTTAGACGACCTGAAAGACGTCATCCAGCAGCTCTTCGAAATCCAATCCGCCGTCCACGGCTACCTAGGTCCGGAGACGCAACAAGAGCTCGTTCGAAAGATGTACTCTCCCCTCCCTCCCTTATCCATTCCCCTCCAAACACAATAAACCTGCAATCTAACGATGACAATCAAAAAATAGAAAAACCCTCACCCAAGGCCTCTCCACCCTCTCCACACACACACGCGATCCCCCTACCACGACCACCTCCCTCGAACAATCCCGCACAACAAACCCCTCCGACCTCCCGATCAATACCATCCAACTTCCTCCCGAGATCATCGACTACGTAGACGCGGCGCGGAACCCGGATATCTACACGCGCGAGTTTGTGGAGCTGGTGCAGCGCGGGAATCAAGATCTGAAGGGGAAACAGGAGGCGTTTGCGAGTTTTCGGGATGTGTTGGCGAGGGAGATGAGGAGTGCTATGCCGGAGTGTCGGGGGGAGGTGGAGAGGGTAGTTAGAGCGACGAGTTTTGGGGAGGGGGATGAGAACGAAGGTAAAGCCGAGAGTGAGGCGAAGGGTGGTGGTGGGAACTAGGGATGGGATGGGATGGGAGATTATTGAGGATGGTAATAATTAAAAGGGGAAGGGGATGGTGGTTTGGGAGATAGGATGAACTTACCAGGGACTTGGGTGCTTGGGTAATTTCGTACTTTGGACAGTGCTTCCTATGTTTATTTTGCGTGCATGCTTGGAGACAGACATACGGGGTGCATGCATAGCTCGGGATTGGAAGAAAGGCAGGAGAGAGACAGAGAGAGGGGGGACTGATGGACTCATCTAGACGGCGATCGCCAGATCGGAGGGTATGTCTGTTTTTTTTCTTTTTCAGTCGCTTGGGATTTCTTTTTTTACATCGGGGCGTTTGTGACGGATATGTATGGGAGTTTGATTCATTTCAGCTGGGTTATTAGGGACAAGGATCAGATCAGGGACTGGCCAGACCCAACCCAACCAGGAGCAATCAGAATCGATCGACGGAGGGAACTATTTTTGGGATCCATCAGTCGGGATCACTCGATCTCCCGTCGTTGCGTTGTCCTTACACAGCAGACGGGCGGAGTATTGCTCAGGATGAAATTGATTTTGTGTTCCTGTCTGTGTCTGTGTCTGTGTCTGTGTCTGTCTTTGTCCTTGTGTACTACGGAGTACAGAGGATGTACATACTGTCTGTGCCTGTGTGCCTGCGTGGCAAGTGGTCCGTTGCCCTGGATGAGACCGGGACCAGGGCTCACGGTGGTCCGTTCTATTTTCTCGTCCGGTGGCGTGGTGGATTTGATACCTATCAACTACGGTACTACTTAGTAGTTACCTCCCAACCCGAGCGAGAGGAACGATCAACCTCAACGAACGCATCCCCTTGCGCCCACACGTGTAAAGGGCCTGAGGGATCAGGCACGTGGGGAGGTAAGCGGTATCCTTTATACTCATCGATAGTCCGGATGGATACTTTCGTCCAGCGTACAGAGTAAGGACCGTCGGTTAATGACGTTTGTGACTCCGCCGAAATTCCCCGCATCGAATCCATCGCGGCTTGGCGATCAGGCTCCGGTCTACATGCACTAGGACTAGGAGACTGTAAGAAAATGAAGTCCCCCAGAATCTCCGCCCCGGACGGGCCTGTTGGCTCACCTGACATCGGCTCATCCTTCGTTTTCTGATCTCATACCTTTCGTTTCTTTTCTCTTTTCCCTAGCGTCTCTTGTCTTTCCTCTTCTTACTTCTCTCCTCGCTCTCCTCTCTCCACCGTTCAATCCCGGTGTTTTGGCTCACTCCGATCTGCTCAGCCGTCTCGCTTGTTTGCTACCCTGAACACCCCAGCCTAGTTCACCCTCATTTTTCACCCCATTCTTTCTCCCTCTCTCTTCCTCTTCCTCTTTCTTCCTCTTCTTGCCTTCCCTTCCTTCTTTCCTTCCTTTCTTTCCTATCCTTTTCCCTCCTCCCCCTCCATCTGTTTCCCTTCAATTCCCCTCCATCATGCCTCGTATTCCTCCGCCTTTACTTCATCCGTAATTGTTCCGTCTCTCGCTCTCGCTCGCCCGGCCAGCCTCGTCCAATTTCGGACCTCGCCGCCGTCTCTCGACATGAGCATGGGCAGCGGTAGTCAATCCCCTGGCGATGGCATCACCGGCGGTTACACGGGAGACAGTTTGGCCCTCAAGGTGGCCATTGCCACCCTGGCCGGCATCACCTGGTACAATGCCATCGAGCTCATCATTCTCGTCTTCGTCACCTTCAGCCAGTTCTCCGGCCTGTACTTCTGGTCCCTCTTCATCTCCTCGTCCGTCGGCCTGGTTCCTTACTCCATCGGTTTCCTGCTCAAGTTCTTCAACCTCACCGACCAGACCTGGCTCTCCGTCACCTTCATCACCGTCGGCTGGTACTGCATGGTCACCGGTCAGTCCATCGTGCTGTACTCACGCCTGCACCTGCTGCTCCCCAATCACCGCATCCTGCGCCGCGTCCTGACCATGATCCTCGTCAACGTTGTCATCCTACACTTCCCCACCACCGTCCTGACCTACGGCTCCAACCTGGTCCCCGACAACCTGGCCTACCGCCGCGGCTACAACGTCATGGAGAAGATCCAGATGACCGGCTTCTGCATCCAGGAGTTCGTGCTGTCCGCCCTCTACATCTGGGAGACCACCCGCATGCTGCGCCTCGACCCGGACCGCGGCAAGCGCAAGATCATGTACCAGCTGGTGGCCATCAACCTGATCATCATCCTGCTGGACATTGGCCTGCTCGTCATCGAATACCGCGACCTCTACATCATGGAGACCATGATCAAGGGCGTCGTCTACAGCATCAAGCTGAAGCTGGAGTTCGCCGTGCTGGGCAAGCTGGTCCATCTCGTCCGCAGCCACGTCTGGAAGACTGAGTCTGCCTCGCGCAACCGTGCCTCCGACTTCCCTGACTTCGTCGATGCCACCCGCCTGACGTCCGACCTGACGCACGCCGCGCCCACCGGCCGCCGCCGATCGCACCCCTGGATGGACTCGGATGACGTCTCTATCGCCATGTTCGAACATGCGGGTTCTGCCTCGGGTCCGACCATTCGTGACCAAGAGACTGGGCACTCGGAAGTGTCCCACTCGTGGAGCGGCGAAACCCACACCAATAATAGTCAGGGCGATCAAGAACCTAGTCCGGTGGATTTTACGGATCCCTGGCATAAAAAGAAACACATCATCCCAATCAAACGATATGATCATCCGGGGTGACAGAAGCTGAAAAACCAGACCCCCCCCCCCCAAAACACAATCCATATACCCTTCGAGATACCCCTTTTTTTTTTTTTTTTTTTTTTTTTTTTTTTTTGCGAAAGAATTGGCCCCAATTCTTTTCTGTCAGTATATTGCATACATTACATCATATTAGCGTCATGCATCTGGAGCGATCCAAGATTGAACCTATATATCATCGAACGAAGATAACGACTTACGACATCATGCCATGTATGGAGCCGTCGTGTACGTTGTTTGATTTTTACCGTTTCACGTGGTCCGTGATGGGAGAGGACGGAAACAACCGAACCAGAACCAGAAAACCAGAACCACCCGGTGACTGACCACGTCAGGGGCCGGATCTCGATCGGGAATCTGGACTTGAAACAGAGTTCAGGGGACAAAGAGGGACGGGAAGAAAAAGACAATGAAAGTTTCTCAGACTTGATCCTCCGAGCCTCCACTTTCTTCCCAACGGCTCCCAGCACGACCGGGGTTCCGCCCGGTTTCAATGGTCAGTTGACAGTCCAAAATAAAATTCGGAAAGAAAGGATCTTGAACTGGGAACAAAGAAACGCGATCAAAAGGAAAATAACGGTCGCCTCCTCCCGAATATCCGTGCCGGGTTCGGTTTAGTTCTGGTTAACTTTCCCTTCTTTTTAGGGGATGGGAAAGCAGATGGTCGGTAATAGTTCATCGGTCTAACCTGCGCCACCTGAGTCAATCTCCATCCAATCTAGATTGAATCGGGGAAGGAGGACTACCTAAACTATACTATATCGTCGCTGTTATTTCCTCCGAGGTCCGAGTAGGTTGGCCATCCCTCCTGGCTTCGGCCGGCAGATATTCCCTCTTCCCAGGACCAGGACGAAGTGCATACGGTGTACATACCTCTAGGCCGCCTGTTTATTGATTGATTGCTTGATTGTATATACCCCTTTCGTATCTACCATGTCTTATCTATATTTACTAGTTAATACAGAGCTAAATCGAATCAATTCACAAGAATTATTCTACAGTCTATACCAAAAATATTCTTCCTCATAACTACCATGGATCCAAACAAACATCGGATAATTAATTTGATTAACAGGGAGAAGACTAGACGCTTTGAAACTGAAATTACAATCAGCCTAAATCAAATAAGCCAAGAGTTTGCGAGGTTGATCTATCTATCCACTTATTCATCCAAAATCCAGATATGATTGTCTATCTATTGTTGATCACGATCTATCTATCTAGTAATCAATTAATCAATCAACCAATACACTAATTACCATGGATACCTCCTGTAGGTAAGGTAGGTAGATTGTTTGGGTAAATCTATGTGCGGGGATGTACGGAGTAGGAGGTACATACATACATACGTACCTACATGCGTATGGAGGTGTAGGTAGGCATGCAAATACCTTGGTACCTACATCTACGTTCCCTCCCCTTGCCTGATCTATTTGAATCATGTGTCATGTGTTCATTGTGTTGTTTGCTGTTGTGTTAGATCCCTCCCTTCCTAGGTAGGTAGATCACGCCTTAGATCCTGGTTGTTAACACTATTGTACAGTATGTACCGTACTCTTTACTAGGTATGTAGCCCAACATACTGTAAGCAGGCTAAATAATTATGTACTTTGGTCAATAGCTCAATACCTCAGTAAGTCAGCAGGTAGACAGGCAGGCATACATGCAGGCACAAGTAACTAGGCCAATGGAGATATGTAGAAGTAGAAGTAAAACTAGACGTTAGACCGCTACTCACGCACAACAATCTAATTGAAAACAGATGGCTGATTCATACCTAATTAACTATTCCGTATACGTACCTAAGCAAACGGGCGAGTAAGTACCTAACTACCTACCTAAAAAGCACCTTGAACTCGTCTTGGACAAGGCACGACAGAAACGAATCAAAAGGCAAAAGAAAAGCTATCTACTCTGTAGAGCTGGAACAAGAATAGAGCTGCCAGATAAGACCGAAAGAGAAAGAAAGAAACACCTAATATAACACCCTACTAGCTAACTGAATCATCCATATTCATGAGCCATCAAAGAAAAAGAAAAAGAAAAAAAAAAAAAACAATCATCCCCCACGCTCAAAAGCCAACGCATTGTTAAAAAATTAAATGCTAAACGCCCGACTTCCCTCCACCAATCCATCCGTCAGTTTACTCACCGCTACCCACACCGGCGCGAACTGCATGATTTCATCCAGGGCGGGAATCAGCCCGACCTGGTTGTGATCGCTCCAGAGGCACACGACCCGTCCGCTGAGATCCTGGTCTACTGCATCCCGCTCGTCCGTCCATTCGATGTCGACGTGCCAGGACCGGTCCCAGGTGCGGCTCCAGAGCCGGACCTCCTTGATGCCTGTGGAGGAGGTGTGCGGGAAGCGAGGATCGACGGCGCCGTTGTCGACGTGGAAGCCGGAGATGGGCCGGTCAAAGACGATTTTGCAGGCGCGCGTATTTAGTCCCGACACCTCGAAGCGGGCCCGCGAGTCATTGGTCGACCGGGAGATGTTGAACGAGACCCAGTCGGCCATTGGTGGTTGGCGTTCGTCGGGGTGCTGCGCCGTGACCAGGGGAGTCAGCCCGGCCCAGGCGCACTTGCTGCGATTGCCAAGCCACGCGCAGCTGACATTTTGGCCGGCGGCACTGGGGAGATCCTTGGCCACGTCCTCCACAAAGGGCGGCATGCCCGTCAGCGACGCCCGGTTGCTGCCATTGTCCAGGTCGACCTCCTGCATGAAGTAGAGTTTCACACGGTTGCTCTCCGAGAAGGGGAACGCAACCAAATTGTACACCAACGTGCCCAGTAGCACCAACAGCAAGAACATCGGCAGGTGGTAGGTGTAACGGTGGATGAAGGGAAGGAGCGGCAATAAGAGGAGCGTAGTCAAGACGGCCACGGCGATGTATACGAACAGGCGAGGGCTGCCGTCCTGCCCCGTCTGGTGGAGCGCACTGGTAAGCAGTAGCGCAAGAGGGCCTACCAAAATCAGGACGATCGGCGCGATGAGGAGGAACTGCAAGACCCACGTCCATTTGGGCAGGTGCAAGCTCCAGGCCTGCTCGCGACCGTAGACCTGAGGGTTTTCGTCTTCTCCATCTCGATCCGTGTAATACCCATTCTCGCCGGCCACCCGCACGTAGTTGGCAAAAGTCGTCCGTTGTCCACCGCCCAGCAGGGACGTCGACTCCGTCGGCTCCTCCTCGGCATCTGGATCGGTTTCGTCTTCCTCTCCCCCCTCATTCTCCTCCAGCCCATCGTCGCGTTGGCTGTGTGTCGTGCCCAGTCGACTCCCGTAGCTGCTAGGACGCCTCGAAACCGGCCGAACCTGATTGGCATACTCCGTCTTCCGCGGCAGGGAGAAGAGCTCCAGGTATGAGATCCAGGTGGCGAGGAAGACGCCGGAATACAAGAAGAAGATGAAATATCCTCCCGCTAGTCCTCTCTGGTGTTCGTAGACGGTGGCAATGACCTGCAGAACCCACGCCACGACAAATAGCCACGTGAGGGTGTAAACGCGGTGCAAAGCCGACGGTCGAGCGAAGTCGGCCACCCGGGAGACGAACCAAGCCAGGAACACCCAGGCCGAGATCATCATGCTCCAGACGGAATACTCACTGCCGTGAACGATGAAGGGGTTCACTTTCGTCACCAGGTAAGCCAGCCCCACGGTGACGCCGGTCGGGATCACAAACAGCGACGGGAACCGGAAGAAGCCACGAAGACCTTGCAACGAGACCGTCTCGAGACCATCCTCCGACTTGGCCGACGACCGGAACAGGTACATCTTGTCGGCTCGCGTGAGGGCGATGCTCGTGAAGAGCAGGGTCAGAGGCGCCACGATGAGCAGCGTCACTGACAAGGCAAACAGCGTGTGCAGACGGAACACGACGAAGGTACTGCCGAACAGGTCGAACCAGACAGCTTTCGACCCGGTCCCGCTGGAGATCTTGTCTTGAGGCTTAGACGGTGGGCCGTCAAACTGATCGCTCGCGTCGGATACCAGTTCCGTCGTGGTGGCCACCGCGGCCGAGAGCATATGCCAAAGCGAGTCCTTGCTCGTGTGTCGCGCGTCATCCTGGTTCGTGTGATACCTGGCTCGCGGCTCAATGAACGCCACATCCAGTCCCCGCAGCCCCAGGTCGCCGTTGAAAACCACATAGTCAGTCTGACTGCTGATCAAATGCATGTCGAACCCGTTAGCCGCCAGCACCGAGCCGAACGGGTGCGGCGATTGCAGATACGGCCGGGTCACCTCGGTGTCGGTGCTGCGGAAGAGGGCCGCGCGACCGCCGGCGCCGGCGCCCTCCAGGTTCAAGAAAGTATGAGGCAAGCGGGAGATCGGATGTTGGCTGTACACGCGCGCTCCGTTCAGGAAGTCCTCCTCGCCATTGTTGAACAACACCACCAAGCCCCGTCGCGGGGCATTTCCCGGCGACGTAAAGTATTTGATCAGCTGCAGGCAGGTAACGACGCCTACCCCGTCATCGGTGGCTCCGAATCCCGTCGAGACGCTGTCGTAATGGGAATTCACTAGCACCCCTCCGGGGGCCCTCGGCGTTCCGTTTGGGTCCTCCCACCACTGGTCCGGATTATCGCCCGGGCGCCGAATGTAGACGATGATGTTGGTGCCTTCGAAATAGACCCCTAGCTCGGCGGCGGTGATCGTGCTGCCGGTGAATGTCAGGTTCGAGCGGTCGTCGTCGAAAACAAACACGTCGGGTTTCTCGTCGTTAGGCAATCCCGGGGAAGCGGCGTTTACGATCTCGTCGATCCGGGTGAGCAGCCAATCATGGACGACATCGTTGCGGCGGGAGTTGTATGGATGGAAACTGCTGGAGAGAACCTGAAGATCGGCCCAGGCTTCGGTGAGGTTCAATCCGCTCGGGTCGGAGCTAGGAGCTGACGGCACGACGTGATGGATGACGAGTAGAGGGATTACCAGGGCCAGATACACAGTCGCGGTGACAAGAGTGACCGGCCAGGGAGTAAATGCCAGCGGGTTAACCCGCGACAGTTTGGGAGGAGCCATGAACAAGCTCGTTTTGTCGAAGGGAGAAGACGGAGGCGAGAAGGAATGCAGTGAGGAGAAGATGCGGAGGGAAAGAAATGATGCAAGAAAGCGGAAGGCGGAAGAGACTAAGAGCGGGGAGGCTTGACAGGTGACCCGCGCGGGATCTGCTCCCGCGTACCTCTGCCGCCAAATTTGTATGAATGGGTACTTTAGAGCAGGAATTGTCCAAGTTACTCTTGAAACTCAATTGTGGATATGTGAATGTATGTAGTCTCTGGCTATGAAAATATCAACAAACAGTATGCGCAATATGAACACAGAGACCGCACCAGCCCCAACGCCATTTTCATTTTCCATGCAAAAGTATCCATTAGGAAATAGTGGGAGATGCAACGGTGCCCCGTACGTATATAAACCCCTTCGATGGGATCTATCCTGGATTGGTGCTGGTGGAATCTCCGCCAGCGGTGCTGTTGGTCCCATCCATGCCGTCTCTACTTGCTACCACACCTCGTTGGTTGGCACCCTGGTTCCAATAGTGTTCTCGAATATGCCTAAACCCGAACAATCATCCCACGGGGATCATAATAATAAACAGAAGCAGAACACCCTCCCGAGTGGTAGACCGCTACCAATGCACTTGCCAGCCGATGAACTGGCGAACAAATCCGAACCTTTGTCGAGGCCTCGGCCAAGATCATTTGATAAGGGAGAGCTAGACAAAAAAGGAAATAAACACAGCCGAACATATGGGTAGGAAAAGAAGGAAAGTGATAGGAAGAGATAGATATCAAAGAAGAAGAAAATAGGAAATCAGGTAAAGGCTGGTGAATAGGGCTAGAAATGGTCGAAAACAGACACGCTCAAGTGGAAGGGAAAAGAGAGGACAAGAGAGGGGTATCATCAGGCTTGAGGATGTCCGATGTCAATGTAATCGTCGTCGTTAATAGCAGTCGCATGCATCAGGCCGGTCACTTGGCCCTCTTCTTCGTCTAATTCATCGTCGTCGTCATACATGGTAACCTCGGTCAGATCCCGCTGAGGAGTTACGTTTCGGTTGAGGTAGTCCCGGAGTCGACACACTCCGTCGCCACTGAACACGCAAAAGACATCGCGTTGCTGATGAGTGAACTCTGAAGGTGCTTCGCGACAGAACATGGTGAGTTCCGGCCGCAGGAACTCCTGCACGCCGGTAAGACTGAGGTGGGTAAGTCGAGGACAATTATTAAGCAACGCATGAATTCCCTACTCAGGTCAGTATTTCCATTGACTTTCCCAGCACGGCTTAGGAAGATAACTTACATCCATGCTCAACCTGATGCAGTAGCTTAGATGGACTCGCTCCAAGCAACTCACCCCAACGGAAACCTTGGGTCGTGCCAAAGCCAGGATACTGTCGTCGGTAATCAACTGACACTTGACCAGTCCGATCCGTCTTAGTTTCGGTAACGTCGCGAGCTGCTGAACACTCGCATTCGTCAAGCGGTTGCAACAGGCCAGGTCGATATACCGGATCCGGTTGCAGGACTTCACTAACTGGATCACCGCGGCATCGGTGATGTTTGAGCAGTGACCCAGGTGGACATAATGCAAATTCTTCCCGAGTTTGCAAATGGCCCACACCGCACGGTCGGTGATAAATCGACATTTCGCCAGGACCAAGTTTCGTAGACGAGGGGCCGACTGAATGATACGTTCCACAGATTCATCGCGAACACTCTCACAGGCCGTCAGGTCCAGTATGCGCAGACTGTCCATGGAATGATGCCTTGGTAGATCTAGGAATGCCATATCGTCTATCGAAGTGCAATGAGCGAGTCGGAGCTCGCGGAGGTTAGGCAGCGTAGCCATGAGAGAAGTAACGGAGGAACTATTGACAAGGTTGCAGTTGTGAAGGTCGATCTCGAGAATAGCCGGACAGTTCTGGGCGAAGGACAGAATGGCTCGACCCGTAACTTGGGCGACGCCGTTGAGTTTCAACTGTACCGAGGTTAGACACAAAGCATGCATACACACCTAGGGAGATTTCACTCACTCTTTTGATCTGCCGACAATTTTGCGACACGACGATCAACGAGTCGTCCGTAACCTTGATGCATCCGGTGATATTCAGCCCTTGAAGGCGAGGGCAATTCCGAGCCACGGCGTACAGGGTGTGATCTGTCAAGGAACGCAACTCCGACACGTCCAACGCTTGTAGATACCGGTTGCCTTCCACCACATCCGACACACCCTTGTCCGTCAACTTGGAGCAATTTGTCAACGTGAGACGCTCGATCCGTTTGCACTGCGCGAAGGGAATCACAGTGCCATCGCTGACATCCGCCGTGAGGGCCGAAAGATTGAGTCTCCTGATGAGCTCCGAGTAGGGAAAGAAAGCGTTGGCGGCGCCGACGGATCCCGTGATGCTTTTCATGTTGGTCCAGTTATTACAGGATGGCCGGTGCCATAGTATCCCAACGCAGTTCGCGGCCCATCCTCGACACACCATCATGCAACTTAGCATATCCCTTGGCGCACTGAGTTTCGAGAAGATGGCGATCAGGATCTCGGGGGGCAGGCGTCCGATCGGCGGGAGCATCGCTTCATGATCGATGTGGCCGTTCAGGTCCCGAACGGTGCCGAGCCCGACCGACGATTGCGAGTCATTTGCCTGGGACGTGAAGAAGTCGGTATCGTCGTCAACGGTTCGGTCCGGGGAGGTCGAGTTCGAGGACTCGGAGGGGGCTTCACTCGAGAATCGAGCGGGTTGCCGTGAGCGGGGCATGAGGGATGCCGTCGAGGATCGAATCTCCAAAAAGATCGGTTTTCTGTTCCAGATAACGCTGCGATGTGTCTATCTCACCAACGGAGGAAGACTGGACGGCATAGACGGGAATATCCTCAGAAAACCATAGAGAAAGAAGGCCGACCGAAGAGGAGGGGAGAGGGGGGTGTAAGCCGGGCGGAGCTGTGAATTTGCGATCGCCCCTTCAACCTAATACGGAGTAAGGTTGGGTGGACGCGGATGCGGGTGAAGGTGACGGATCAGAAAGCTGCCTGACCTTGTCCAGGATGTCTAAAATTAGAAAGCTTGGTCAAGGATGAGGCAAGAGAGTTGAAGGCGCTTAGGGGGGGAACAGCGCGCGTCGGGTGCTGAAGGAAGGAAGGCCAAAGGGCGACGGTCCAGAAATGGCGGGGGTAAGAGGAGAAAAGAAGGAAGAATGGGAAGAATGGGAAGAAGAGTCCCAGGAAAGGGAATAGAATTCTCCGTGGGGAGCACCTCAGCTGTTGAGATCCCTGGGGGGAGGAGCAGAAGGGCAATAAATAGAATCAGCAGGGTTGAGAGGAATTGTGAAGGCGATCGGGCGGCTGTGACGACGTGAGAACTGCAAGGGAAGGGAAGGGCGGATAAGCCCTGCTGACTGTGCAATGCCAGACGTCGCTGAAGAATTCCTGTAGTTTTTCCACAGTTTCTATCCTGCGTTTGAGTCTATTGGGAACTATCAATATTCCTATTTTCTGTTTTCCCTTTCGTTTTGAACAGCCTGGATCCCCTTCGTAGCCCCGGTCCAGTGCCTCCCTTCCCAACCGGGAGACGATGGTCTTGCGATCAATCGATCTATATATCCTGACTCCGCCCAGATCCTTCATATCCACCCTCAATCGCGATCCTCAACATGGCAACCTCTCATGTTCGACTTCCCCCCTTTGCCCACTCCCGGAGCACATTTTTCCTCAACTTCCCGGTACTGGTCTTGGGTAGTTCCGCCACTACCTCCACCTCCCGCGGGATCATAAACTTACTGATTCCGCTGACATTCCGGGCCCACTCGATGACCTCCTGGCCCTGTAGTTGTTGCCCCGGTTTCACCGTAACGAACGCCTTGGGTCGCTCGCCCCAGTGGGTATCTGGCACGGACACCACGCCGGCTTCTAGAATTTCGGGATGCGTGACCAGCATAGACTCCAGCGCGACCGAGGATATATTTTCTCCGCCTGACTCCCCCAATAACGTATTAGTAACTAATGCTCAATCTTATCGCGACCTGAACTAGAGGGGAGGACTTACCGCTGATGATAATGTCTTTGGCTCGGTCCAGGATCTGGATCGCTCCGTCGGGATGCCAAACGGCCAAATCTCCCGAATGGAGGACCCCTCCGGCGAAGAGCTTCCGTGTAGCCTCCGGGTCCTTGTAGTAGCCCCGTGCGGTGATATTCCCGACGAACACGACCTCGCCGATCTCCGACCCGTCGCGGGAGACGTCGACGATGGTGCCTTCGGGGACGTCGGTTCTGATGACGCGCACCGGGAGACTGGTAACGAAACCATGTCCCTGTCGCGCCATCCGCTTGTACTTCTCCTTCGGGGGTAAATGGTCCCATGACGGCATGTGATAGCCCTTGGTAATGGGTCCGTAGGTCTCCGTCATCCCGTACACATGGACAGGATGCAGGTTCAGATTGGTCATCTGTTCGAAGAGATGAGGTGTGGGAGGACTGGCTGCCACCGTTACCTGCACGGGCGATGCAAGACGCTCGGCCTCGCTGGCATTGCAGAGGAGCGTATTCACCGTCGGCGCCGCATTGAAATGAGTGATGTCCTCTTCCTTCAGCAATTTCCAGATCTGAGGGTAGTCAATCTTCCGTAGACAGTAGTGAGTCCCGCGGACTGCTGTGACGGCCCAGGGAAATGACCAGCCTGAGAAGAATCAGCAAAATAGATCGAACTCCTCAAGACCCCGAGGGGAAAGGGCTACTGTACCCATCGCATGGAACATCGGTAAAGTCCATAAATAACCACAGCGGCCATAATGAGTATTGAGACCAGACTCGATCACGTTACCCAAGGCGGCAAGATAGCAACCCCGATGAGTGTATTCGACACCTTTGGGTCGGGCCGTGGTGCCACTGGTGTAGGCTAGGGCAACGATGTCGTCTTCGGAGGCTGCTTGGCTCTCGAGCCCGGCCCATCCCTTGGCACCGGTGTCCGCGTCATACTTCAAGCCATCCAGAACCGCGTCGTCAAAAGGGCCAGACACTTGGCCTTCTGTGGCGTCCGTGTCGGTATCAACGACGATGGAGATATTTGGATTCGACTTTCTATACGACTCAAGAAGGGGAAGGTACTCTTCGTCTACAATAATTGCTTCGACATCCGAGTGCGTGAAGATATACTCGATATCATCAGGCTTGAGGCGGTAGTTCACAGCTAAAGCCGAGTGTAGACATCCCTTTGTCAGCGTATAGACCTTAAGAAACCAATTGATATTAGAAGAGCTCCCTTACCAACATTGACAGCTCCCGCAGCGGCAATCCCGAAGATCGACTCCAGGAAAGCGGGCGTATTAGGGCAAAGAATGCCGACTCTCTTCCACCCCCGTTTCTTCAGATAGTACGCAAGACCTCGAGCTCGATCAGCCGTCTCGAGATATGTTCTCCGTAGGATTTGGCTATTGGCCGTGATGTGAACAATTGCCTCCGCCTACATTGACCGAAGCGTCATAGATTACCCTCGTTAGATCATCACCGGCACCACAAACTAGCTTAGCACTGTTGAATTGAGCAGTGACTCACCTCTGGCTCGATAGCCGCCGCCCGAGGCAGGAAGGTCGTCGGCGAGAGGGTATGGAAATTGAGCGAGTGTTCAAATGGTGCGGGCGATGCGGTAGGGCCCTTGCTTTGAGCAGGGATCAAATGCCCTAACAGGCTCGACAAACGGGATTTCGCAGCTGACATGATGACTCCAATCAAGGAGGGGGAACAGAGGAGATGACAGGAGCAAAGGGGCATGAAGCCATGAGAGAATCAGGGCACAAGCGAGGGTGCGCGAGAGAGTCGGTAGGGAAAGTTGGAGAACGCCAGACAATGCGGGGAAGCGCTTTTTCTCGGGCCGCGGAGAAGCGGAGGTCGGGAGTCGCATTCCGCCCTTCAGATTATGGAGTAACTGTAGGAGTAGCTACGTCTACTGATGGACAGGATCATCCATGATCGAGGAAACTCAAAGTTGAACTAAATCGAGTCATCGGTTGTCACAAGGAACGCTGGTCAGGCGGGTGATCTTGGCCCCGAATGATCAGTGATCACTACGGGATCTCGTCACAGTCATCACATGCAGCTCCACACTCGCACGGCGGCTAGAGATGATCCAGAAGGGTATCGATTAGAGGTTTGGTGATTTTGGTATCGCATTATTTCTCTTTACATTCTCTCCTCGAAAAGAGATTGTCGCATGGGGTTACCGTGATGGGTTTGCAGGGTCCTGGATCATGTCGGGTGAACGGAGAGAATGGCAGCAGCCAAGGAAGTAGAGGCGAATAAGCCTAAGTGAAGAATGAGAACAGAAGGAAAAGTTGTAACAGTCCAAGTCGTAAAGAGTCATTTTTTTGTTTTGAACTCTGAAAGAAAAATTCTTTGGATTAAACCGCCACGGCGCGAAATAACGGTCAGCTATTTTGAACAACCTTTCATCCCAAGCGACTCCGTAGTTTTTTTATAAACAGAAATCGGTTTCCCCAAACCCCCCATGTGCGTCACAACATGAGTTATTGTGGATTTTCATGACAGGGTAGGGACGGTGAGAAAAAGGTCGATCGGTTCGCCGTCCACCACTCCGCTGAAAGAAAACCGCTCGCGATCCCAACCCATCCCATCACAGACACAAGCAACCGGCCGCGCAACTAGGTATCTAATATCCGTACTCAGCGAGCTGGCTCTTGGTCTTCTCGTTAACACCCGCCGACTTCTGAGCGTGGGTGAGTTGGCGGCGAGCGGCCTTCTTGCGCTCGTAGTATGCACTGCTCTTGACCTTTCTGCGCTCCTCGAGTCTGTAGTAGTAATTCCCGTTAGCCATCGCCCATCCTGAACTTCTTCCAACTCGAAACGTCCCATCCAACCTGGGACTCCAATGGTATACGCACCTAGCAACAACATCCTGGTACTTCCAGCCAACCTCGTGGCTGAGACGGCCGACGGTGCAGTACTTGCGGCCGGGGCGGAGGCGGAGGACACGCAGAGCCTGGGGAACGACGACGCGCTTCTTCTTGTCGTAGGGAGGGGGGACACCCTCGAAGACCTTCAGCCTCTCCATGGCGGCGGTACCACGGGCGGTCTTGTGGGGAATCATGCCACGGACGGCCTTGTAGAAGATGCGAGAGGGGGCACGGAAGTGGAAGGGACCTGAGTTCACGATTAACGTCTGTCCCGGTTGTGACCATTTTTTCTCGGGGTTGTGTCGACTTACCTCCGCGGGTAGGGTTGAAACGGGTCATCTTGCGAAGGTAGGCGTGGTACTTCACTGTATTCCGGAATCCCAAGTCAGTCGTCTGCAATAAACCCAGTTGTAGCACAATATCCAAATTCTCCCATCGCTTCGTTGCGCATGATGCCGTTTGCTGTCCATCCATATATCCTTGATATTCTGATCCCTAACATTGGCGCCACCAGCAAAAACCCCAGACAAGAAAAATAGATTGTGCGTAGCCAAACAAAAAGAAAAAGACCGGGTTTTGATCACGTACACTTCGCGCGGAAGAACTCGCCGGAGATGTTGAGGGCTTCACATCTCACAACGACGATCTTCTGGCCGTTGAGCAGCTGCTTAGCAACAGTGCTGGCCAGGCGACCAAGGAGATGTCCCTTGCCGTCAATGACGACCTATTAAAAACGATCCAACACAAGTCAGCGATTCTGATCTCTCAATCCAAAGATTGTCTGTCATTCGATGAACGCCATTTCCCATTGATCATATTCTCCTTGCTCTTCCTCATCTTCCTTCCGACATCTTCTAGATATCACGGGGGCCCATGGCGTCGGGATGCATGTGAAGGGGGAGCAGATGGGTGGTGGTACGCACGACTGGCTCTTGGGTGGACATCCTGCTCTGTCGTCTCTTAAGGAAAATATCCGGCGAAAAGAAGAGCACGGCTCTAGGATACTCCCTTGGGATGTATGTTGTCGGCGGTTGTTGTCGTTGTGGGCAGGTTCAACGCTCACCACGAAGTCGGATGGTTCGCACTGTCGTGAGGGTCGCTTAAGCGAGGCTCCCTTTGTGGAAGATCGAGGGCCCCAGCCCTAATGCCCGGCCAATCCCGTGCCGTTCGGTCACGTGGCCCCGCCCGGTCCAGCCTGGGCCTTCCACTCTTTCCCTTGAACTTCAGTCCTTAGCATGGCCTTTAAACTGGGCAGAGTGATCCACCGGTCTTTAAATTAGAGCAGTTGTCGACTCTTCCCTTCCGACTCTGATGTCAAAAGGTTGGCGCTACGCGGCTACTCTGTAACCCCCATCCCCGCAATATCGATCCTCCCCGATAGGTAGCCTCCGGAGTTTGATGAACAGAGCCACTGTAACCCAAGACGCCCAATTTGAATAATTAATTAGCTGGACTAGTAGTATGATTCCTTTGTTCATCCTGCAGCCTCTTGATTGTGAATGTATTACTTCTTGGTTTCCCTTCTTCGCTCACCGAATAGTCTTGAACTTGTCTTCATGCACGGGAAAATGGTCTTGTATTCCTTATTTTATATTCTTGTATATATTATTACAATTAAATAATTGATCCTCCTAGTGAGGTATATAGACATAGTCACATGGTATTCACAATATATGCCGGTTCAACAAACGAATGTAAGAAGAGAAAAAAAGAGCATTGGCGCCATCACAGCATCAAGTGGGTCATAGACCGTTCATATCGTATTCCTTTTTCAATACAAGGGCAGGTTTGCGTCTCGCGTGCCCCGTTCAATGACCTCCTGCAGAGTCCAGCGAGGAGGTTCAATCGCTTTCCGACCCCCTCTCTCCGAGTCCGCGGAGAGAGGTTCCCTCAGCCCGCCTGCAATTCCGGTCGAGTACTTCAGGCGCAAAGCGTTGCCAACCTCGTCACACACCATCAACAGGCGGTCGAGATCATCTTTGGTGTGTGCTGCGGATAGACAGAAACGCACACGGGAGAGCTCTAGCGGCGTAGCAGGGTAGGTCACTACCACCACCGAGATCTTGCGTTTGAGCATTTCGTGCGAAAATGCCGACATTTTGGCGGGATTGTACAGCATCAGCGGTACGATAGGCGAGTCGTCGTGGCCGTACACGATAAATCCAAGTCTTTTGAGTCCTAGCCGGAGATAACGCGAGTTGAAGGCAAGCCGTTGCACCCGCTCGCGGCCCTCGCCCGGATGCAGGGGGTCCTCATCAGCGATCAGGCGAAACGAGGAATGAATCTGAGCGAGGACCGATGGTGCGGGAGCTTCACCATATATTTGACCGGCGTTGGTGCAGCGAATTTTGTCAATGATCGCTTTGTCCGCGGCGACATAGCCGCCATTGGCACCAAAGGATTTGGTGAAAGTGCCCATCAGAATGTCGACCTCAGCAGGGTCAATCTTGAAGTAATCACACACGCCACGGCCACGGGGACCGACAGCACCAATCGAATGAGCTTCGTCGATAAAGAGATGGAATTTGTATCTCTTCTTGAGTTCGAGAATCCGAGGGAGGTTGCACATAGTGCCTTCCATGGAGAATAAGCCTTCCACCGTGACGAGAATCTTCTTCCACGGTCGGTGGGTACGGGGCTGGCCCTGGGAGATTGCTTCTCTCAATCGCTTCTCAAGATCAGCCATGTTGTTGTGCGCAAACACCTGGATGGCAGCTCCCGAGAGACGCGCACCAAACCGGATGGACGCATGGTTGAGCTCATCGGACAAGATCAAACATCCTTTCTCCATGATCGCGGGAAAGATAGTCGCGTTCGTAACAAATCCCATAGAGAAGATAACGGCATCCTCCTTCCCCACGAAACGCGCCACTTGGTTTTCCACCTCGACGTGGAGCTTCGACGTCGATGCGTCACCGCAGCTGCCTGACATGCTGATACCATCCTGCCGAATAACTTCTTCGGCGTTATCGGAACAGGGCCCTTCAGACTGGGCAAAGCCAAGATAGTTGTACGAGCTCAAGTTCAGCGTGTCTGTGGTTGTCCCAGTCAACTGGAAATTCAGATTGTCATCATATGATCGCCGGTCGAGTAAGGTAATATATCTTCCGGGAACACCAGTCGTGGGCCGTTCAAAACAGTCGTTGATTCTTTGCTTCAATCGACGCGTATAGAAGCTCTCGAAATCACTGTACAGCGAGGCATAGCCGTTGCGCGGCCTCAAGTGTCGATACGTGTGGGATCGGGTCCACTTCGCAACGCCATCATGGAAGTGACCGAGGAAAATTAGAACCAGGAAGCTGATATAAGTGGTTAACGCGATGAAATAAGGCGGTTCATCAAGAATCGGGTCGGGGATCTCGCCGCCAGGATGTTCACTGGTGTAGAGATGGGAGGGATCGCCTAGGGGACCAAATTCGGCATGCTGCTTCGCGAGCCTTTGAGCTGCCGTAGGGTTAGGAAGAGTCTGGTTCGTGGGAGAGGTCGTAGTCTTCGTCGAATCAGGAGAGCCAACAGACACTGCACGAAGAGAAGCGACGGCTGTCGAGTCAATTTTCGGGGCTGGGGAACCCTGGAAGCTCTCGGCCAAGGCAGCAAAATTGTTGCGCGTGGTTATTGTATCTTCATCGGATCGAGATTTATCTTTGCGTCTCCATCGCGGCATTATCAAGGACTGACTTGGTCGATGACCCTATTGAATTGGATGAGAGATTTAATTGACAGTTTGAAGGGTCAGTCGAGGGTGAGCTGCGAGGACCTGGGCTGATCAGGAGAAGAGGAAGGAGAGAGACTCGGCTTACTCCGTACTACTTTCTAGACGCGGTGCGGTCATCACCTTACCGTTTAGGACTAGCGCTGGACCCCACCCGGAAACTCCGGCCTTGTTACGGATTTGCAGTGGGTCTTGGCATTGACGGGATCGGATGATGTAAGCGGGGTTCCAGAAGGTCCATCCTTTTTCTATAGCATATTTGACTGTCATTCCTTCCCTATCACCTTGCACGGTAGCATTCATGGATCTGGCAGATGCAATTCTTACCTGGGATGCAGCAGAATAATTAACTTACAGTCGCAAGTCTTGTGGCAACTTCAACTCTTTGACTTAGCCCCCAGAGGAACCGACTCACGTTTTCGATCTGTGCACTGAATCTACGAAGTGTTTTGAAGCGATACCACCCCAATTTTTCATGGCAGATATCCGACAGAAAGAAATGAAAATGACCCAGAGAACACGATTTGTGTGCCTCTCAGATACACATGCCTATACACCATCCGAGGCAGGCTTCAAACTGCCCGCCGGCGACGTCTTGATCCATGCCGGGGATTTGACCAACCACGGGAGCAAATCCGAGCTTCGCAAAACGATGAACTGGATTGCAGCGGCCGACTTCGAAGTCAAAATCGTCATTTGTGGTCAGTCATATCGACTCGAAAGTTGCCTCTGATGCTGAAGTCGGACGCGGATATCAGGGAATCACGACATCACTTTAGACGCGGCCTTCTATGCCGAGCACGGGTCAAAATTCCACGGTCAGCATCCAGAAGATCACCAGGAATGCATGGAAATCGTGACCACGGCATCGCCATCGATCGTGCTTCTCAGGCATCAGTCAGCACTAATCCGCTTGACCCGGCCTAACGGTCCAAACACTGTGTTCAAGGTCTTTGGTTCACCCTTCTCCCAATCCCCCGGAACCTGGGCCTATGGATACGAATCCGCTCATGCGGCTGCACTCTGGGATCAAATCCCATTGGATGCGGATCTTGTCGTCACCCACACGCCGCCTCATTCCCTTTGCGACAGCCGAGCAGTGGGCGCGGTTGGGTGCAAGGCCCTGCGTCAGGCGTTAAGTAGGGTCCGACCGTTGCTCGCGGTGTGCGGCCATGTCCATGAGTCGCGAGGCTTCGAGCGAGTACGATGGTCGCAGAGTTCAGCGTCGTCATCCATCTCGTCGAATGCGAGGCCCGAAGCGAGCGATAACCAAGACCAAGTAGTTAAAGGGGAGTTGCCTGTTCCAGGAAGTAAAAAACAAAGCCTTGTCGATCTGACGGGTAGGAAGGCACAGCGCCTCGACAATCATGGCTGTGCGATGGTTAAGGCTAAGATGCCATCGTCTCAAGACACCTTGTACCCCTCATGCCCTATGGACGATCAGCCACTCCCACGGCCTCGCGCCCCCGGGCAAAAACAACATTCGCCGTCATCGTGTCCGCAGTCCGCCAAGCAGACGACACCCCGACCGCTACGACGCGAAACGTGCATCGTCAACGCGGCGATCCTGGCAACCAGCTGGCCACACCGCGGAGGGAAACGCTTCCACGCCCCGATCGTGGTCGACCTGGAGTTGCCGACTTGGACGAAACCACCAGGACCTGCGCCACTGCAGAAGTCTGGTCCGGGGGAAGTGTGATCTCATTTTCCCGACAACGCAATGATTGGATTCCGACGATGGAATTCTAGCCCGGCCTGCAGCAGATAGCTTGAGCTTTGACCCGGGCAGGGTTGACGTATGGTTCGCCCGATGACCGATGCATGGCTGCCTTGGAAGAGAAGAGGTGTGGGGGAACAACAGAAAGGATAGCGACAGGATCCGTCACCTTATACACTGGCCCAGTTGGTTGCTTTGCCTTTTTTAGATTTGAAGAATAAAAATAAATAAATAAATAAAAAAAGTGAAAGGGTGTTGTTAGTGCTTTGAATTTAGTGGGAAAGAATAACACGGGGGGGGGTTATTACATCATGGGAGTCAATCAAAACCAACAATCCTCTGCAGGAGTTGCGGCAAGGTGTGTTCATAGGTGACGAGATGTCGATTGAGTCTCCGTATTTCGGCACTGTTTCAGATCGATGATGTACGACATTGCAACAAACGGGCGCAAAGGGAGAGAACGATCCCTTGGAAACCAGAGGACAACAAGTCATCATGTCATTTTATACTGAAACAAAATGCCGTCTACCTATGTAGTTGGTCCTGCGCTCTTTCTTCATCATGATCATGTGTCGATCCGGACATTTTCCACCACCTACCCGACCTGGATCATGACATGATCATTCCGAAATTTTCTCATGGGAATCCGCATCAGGCCAACATCATTCAAAAGTACGATGCAATGCTGTAAGCGCCCGAGAGAGAGAGGAGAGAGCATGACCGACAACGGCTTAGGATCTAGTTCTGTAGGTATATGTGTACACTGTTAGCGGGGCGGTTAATTCTCTCATTCTTCCCCACCGTATTCACTATCCAGTATCCAGCTGTCTATGTACCATTCATAATTCCCCTCCTTAGGTACTTTGGTCCTCAGTAGGACTAAGGAGATGAATGTTGGATGTTGGATAAGTAGGTAGGTGTAGAACTGAGTATGTAAGAAACTTTACTGTACATAACTACTCCGTGGTATGCACAAGTAAAAATGACATTAACTTTCCCCTCGATTTACTTTCCCACCCGCAGCTAAAAAGAACCGCCCCCTTACCTATAGCCATGTCGTACCTGAAGAAGAAAAAATAATACTGTTAAAAAAAAGGCACACGTTGAACAAGGACAAGGGTGGACAGTGGGAGACAAAGAAAAAGAGAGAGAAAAGGCATGGGTTGCACAAAAACACTCAGCTGAGTCGAGAGGGGCCGCGGCGCTCGCTCTCCATCTCTATTCCTGGACTCCAAGTCTCCAAACCGGAAAAGAGTTGTGTAACATACCTTACATGACCGGTAACCTACCTAAGGTATGTATGTACCTAAGCTAAGACCCAAGAGGGGCATCAGCCATCAGCATCTGCGCGGGCTGACTGGGGCTTTATCTTTTTTTTTGGGGCTGCTGGGCTGGGCGGGCAGGCGCGTTAACCTGAAATATTAAGTAAGCTTTGTCGGGTTAATTGGGGTTACTACTGGTTGATGAGGGGGTAAACTACGACACATAGTTACTACTAACTCACTATAACAGTGCACAGTAGGTAGTCATCTCGGGGTGGGGAGGTTAATTATCTTAGTTAGTTACTCAATTACGGAGTAGAGAGTGTTAGAATGGCAGACTAAGTAAGTCACTGGATGGTCTAATGGAACCTAACTGTAGTCGAGTCCTCGTTCTTCCATACTGGATCCCAGATCCACAGATGGGCGGGGTGTTGTTGTTCAGGAATCAGGTGTTGTGTAACATGGGCTTTACCTGTTCTCTCTAGTCTTATACGTCCTACATGCTCTGTATACTCCATTGCCAGATCACTAGATCTCATGTACTCCGTTCCCCCCGGGGAAGATTAAGGATAATTGACTGGGGAATGAATACATACTATCCGAAGGAAGTACCAAGCATAGAGTTGTGAAGAGAAAGTATATACGAGCGAATCGACGTTAAGTCCAGTTTGACGCTGTGGCTGGGGTAGGTACGTACTCCGTACATCAAGCTTACCCACCTAGAGTGATGACAAGTTAGGCTCTGGGCGTATGAAGTAAAATTTTCCGCACTACGAGGAAACAAGTGTGAACACAGTCGTGTCGGACTTTGTAGTACGAACACTACTCCATAGTCCATACGGAGTACAAATCCACTGATATCCCACCCCCACATCAAGGGCTGAGGTGAGCCAGCAAGGTACGAGGCCGATCAGCCAAACGCAAGAAACCAATGACGAAGGAATGATCCATCAATTCCCTGTTGCCTAGACAGGCAAATGAGCGTCGCGGGTCACATCAAGGACCAACCGGTCAGATGTACAGGACACCACGACAACCCCATCTCGGTCAACCTCGAGGCTCTATGAAACCAGACTAAGATGATTCCGGATGCACAACGCACATCCCTAGGCATGGCATGTTCGGCTGGCCTCGTCGACTCGGTAGCTAGAAACGGCCTCGATCCGCCGGAGAAGGGGTGCTTCATATGATGACAGATGATACGAGATGAACACGGGATTCGGGATGATGAAGAAAAGACAGACTAGACTAGATCGACTGATCGAGCTTCTCGCCTTCTCCCCTGCTTATACCTCTTCTTCTCTGTTCTCCCTCGCGTTGAACATATGTATGGGACGATTTAAACTTCTCAGTATAGTTTCTCGCATCACTCCCCAACGCTTTTTCCATTGTTCGAGACAAATCACAGAATCGTGCCTCATCTTTGCTCAGTTCCCGACCGCCAGAGCCTATGATTGGCGACAGGAGACCCGGAAGGTGCAGCACTAACTAAACGATGCAGTCTAATGCCGGGACAATCATTGCATGGCGCGGATGGTTGGCCCTGTTCGTGGAACGGGCCCCCATGTGCAGATGACTTCGACCAGGGCCCAATTATGGCTTCGAGAAAGATCGGTTTGACGGAGAAGGGTCACGGATGACGATGGACAGTGGCTCAACGCGGTGGGACAGGCAAGAGGGGAGGTTTCTTAAGGTCGATCTTCGGTCGGATATCAGAGAGGGAGGGAGGTGACTCGTTCATGCCTTGATCCTCTTACCTTTGTAGTGGGACATAGCTGTCACTGCCTACTTGCCTACCTTGACAGGATGATTATGATTTCTGACAGACCCCGGTTGGCCACGGTCTCGGTTGATAGTTGCTCAGAGGCGCCAGACAATGAGGAAACGAAAAAAGAAAAATCGCTCTCGTACTCCGTAGAGAATCCAGAGAGACCATCCGGTCTGGACGTTAGCCGACCGAGGTGATAGATCGACGTGATTCGAAGCCCTCTTCTCCCTCCGACCGCGACTCGCGAGAAAATGTGATGAAAGGCAACCTTGTGACAGTGATAGCCGCCCGGAGAATTTGGACGGCATGTTCCAAACTGGGGACAACCAGGCACGCTGTCTATATCAACCCGGCAACGGAACCGGCCGGGACTGATCCATGGGACTGTTGCACGCGAGTCGGGGCCTGATCGCAATATGGCTGTTTACTGTTTAGCCGTACCAGACCTGTCGATAACTTCCTTTTGATCTTTCCCCTCCTCCTCAGGAGGAGACCAGGCACATCAAACATGCACCGGCGTTTCTGGAGAAGTGTGGTGGTGGTCCTGCGTGATGGACGATTCCAATTAATTCGACATCACTGCGCAACGCTTACTGAGTAGTTGGTAGGGTGGAGTGGAGAGGGGTAAAGGGCTAGGTAAAGTACTCAGAGAGTCGACAGCCAATTCCAGCCTGCAGAACCTGCAGCATCATCCCTGGGTGAGGCGACCATATGGAGACGCACAGGCAACCGGAGGGAGGAGTGGATCCTTGTGATATTGGAGAATGGAGAATGGAGAATGGATAGAGTAAAAGACTAAAGATAAAATTAAATAAAAGAAAAAGAAAAGTAAAAAAGCCACGATTGGAGGACACTTCCCAATCGGGGAAAGGCAGAACATGACGAGGCCCCCGTCAGCCTATGAGAGGAGGCGAAAAGGCCCCTCCGTCCCCTCCCTGGTGGGAGCGTTGCAGTCAGTCACAGCCAGCAGCAGCGAAGCCAGTGCGGGGTTTTCTTTTTCTTTTCTTTTTCTCTTACGGGAATCGGAAATCACTGCTCACGGGCCAAACAGACGAATCTCATTAGCTGATCCTGGGGGATATTCCAATTCGGCGAGGGAGCAATCAGAATGCATTCCCGCGGGGCCAGAAAAGATCATGGTGGGCTGGTGACGGCCGTCGTGCTGCTCATCTGCTCGCAACATGGACCGTTTGGGAGGTAAGGATGATGACCAGCAGGAGGGTCACTCCTGCAGATATCCTTTCCCTTTCCAGGTCAGGGTTTGAGGCGAGCCGAGGGGAGGCTTGCTGGCCAAGCACCCCCTTCTAAGCTGATGGCCTTGATACTGGCTAATCCCGACTGTCGGAGGGTGTGCCATACACCGTTACTCCCATCATCCTCGTTCGCGTCCTCGTCCCAACAGCACCCCGGGTATTTGTATCTCATCCGTTCCTGATTCAATCCGTGCCGCTGCATGCTCCGTTGGGAGTTCCCATCTAGATAGATGCATGAATCTCGTTTCTACCTCCTCGACATTCAACATTGGACCAGCCCTTCATTGATTGATCTCTCCAAGACTGAAACCGATCCATACTTCTTTATCCATTGTTGTGGCCAACAAATCAATGATTGACCGCTCTTTACCTTCCTTTGCTCTCTGCCCATTCTTCTTCTGACTCGCTGTCATTCCTTTGTTACCGAACGATCGAACGGCATCCTTGCTGTAAAACTAAAAGGGTCTCTCCATCGCGGGTTTCATCCAGGGCTCCATCCAGTTGCTCCGCTCGTCAATCATTCACCGCTGCTTGGGAGGGCTCAGGCAAGAACGGGCCCGAAAAGGTGGACCGCCATAATAATTCTATTTTATTCTACTCCCTTCAAATTCGATTTCGATTTTGATTTCAATTAGTCGATTCTATTATTACCTTATTCTCATTGATTCTCGTTCACTGCGATCATTATTATCTCATTTT